CCTGGACATGCACCCGTAGACTCCTGTGTACGTGGAAGTGCCTAGCCATGAACCCGTAGACTCTTGTGTAAATGGAAGTGCCTGGCCATGAACCCGTAGACTTCTGTGTACGGGGAAGTGCCTGGTCATGAACCCGTATACTTCTGTGTACGTGGAAGTGCCTGGCCATGAACCCGTATACTTCTGTGTACGTGGAAGTGCCTGGCCATGCACCCGTAGAGTCATGTGTACGTGGAAGTGCCTGGCCATGCACCCGTAGACTCCTGCGTACGTGGAAGTGCCGTGGAAGAGCCTGGCCATGCACCCGTAGACTCATGTGTACTTAGAAGTGCCTGGACATGAACCCGTAGACTCCTGCGTACGTGGAAGTGCCGTGGAAGAGCCTGGCCATGCACCCGTAGACTCATGTGTACTTAGAAGTGCCTGGACATGAACCCGTAGACTCCTGGTTACGTGGAAGTGCCTGACCATGAACCCGTAGCCTCCTGTGTACGTGGAAGTGCCTGACCATGAACCCGTAGCCTCCTGTGTACGTGGAAGTGCCTGGCCATGAACCCGTAGACTCTTGTGTATGTGGAAGTGCCTGGACATGAACCCGTAGACTCATTTGTACGTGGAAGTGCCTAGCCATTAACCCGTAGACTCCTGTGTACGTAGAAGTGCCTGGCCATGAACCCGTAGACTTCTGTGTACGTGGAAGTGCCTGGTCATGAACCCGTATACTTCTGTGTACGTGGAAGTGCCTGGCCATGAACCCGTATACTTCTGTGTACGTGGAAGTGCCTGGCCATGCACCCGTAGACTCCTGTGTACGTAGAAGTGCCTGGCCATGAACCCGTAGCTTCTGGATACGTGGAAGTGCCTGGCCATGCACCCGTAGAGTCATGTGTACGTGGAAGTGCCTGGCCATGCACCCGTAGACTTCTGTGTACGTGGAAGTGCCTGGCAATGAACCCGTAGACTCTTGTGTATGTGGAAGTGCCTGGCCATGAACCCGTAGACTCATGTGTACGTGGAATTGCCTAGCCATGCACCCGTAGACTCATGTGTACGTGGAAGAGCCTGGCCATGCACCCGTAGACTCATGTGTACTTAGAAGTGCCTGGACATGAACCCGTAGACTCCTGCGTACGTGGAAGTGCCTGACCATGAACCCGTAGCCTCCTGTGTACGTGGAAGTGCCTGGCCATGAACCCGTAGACTTCTGTGTACGGGGAAGTGCCTGGTCATGAACCCGTATACTTCTGTGTACGTGGAAGTGCCTGGCCATGAACCCGTATACTTCTGTGTACGTGGAAGTGCCTGGCCATGAACCCGTAGACTTCTGTGTACGTGGAAGTGCCTGGCCATGCACCCGTAGACTCATGTGTACGTGGAAGTGCCTAGCCATGAACCCGTAGACTCTTGTGTACATGGAAGTGCCTGGCCATGAACCCGTAGACTTCTGTGTACGTGGAAGTGCCTGGACATGAACCCGTAGACTCATGTGTACGTGGAAGTGCCTAGCCATTAACCCGTAGACTCTTGTGTACGTGGAAGTGCCTGGCTATGAACCCGTAGACTTCTGTGTACGTGGAAGTGCCTGGCCATGCACCCGTAGACTCCTTTGTACGTGGAAGTGCCTGGCCATGAACCCGTAGCTTCTCTATACATGGAAGTGCCTGGCTTTGAACCCGTAGACTTCTGTGTACGTAGAAGTGCCTGGACATGAACCCGTAGACTCCTGCGTACGTGGAAGTGCCTGGCAATGAACCCGTAGACTCTTGTGTATGTGGAAGTGCCTGGCCATGCACCCGTAGACTCCTGTGTACGTGGAAGTGCCTGGCCATGAACCCGTAGACGTCTGTGTTCTGCATGCTATTCTGTTAAGAGGACACTAACGAAACTAAGAATGAACCTGCTGTATCCCAACGCATGCTATTCTGTTAAGAGGACACTAACGAAACTAAGAATAGGCCTGTTGTATCCCACCGCGTGCTATTCTGTTAAGAGGAAACTAACGAAACTAAGAATGAACCTGCTGTATTCCACCGCATGCTATTCTGTTAAGAGGACACTAACGAAACTAAGAATAGGCCTGTTGTATCCCACCGCATGCTATTCTGTTAAGAGGAAACTAACGAAACTAAGAATGAACTTGCTGTAACCCACCGCATGCTATTCTGTTAAGATGACACTAACGAAACTAAGAATGAACCTGCTGTATCCCACCGTATGCTATTCTGTTAAGAGGACAGTAACGAAACTAAGAATGGACCTGGTGTATCCCACCGCATGCTATTCTGTTAAGAGGACACTAACGAAACTAAGAATAGGCCTGTTGTATCCCACCGCATGCTATTCTGTTAAGAGGAAACTAACGAAACTAAGAATGAACTTGCTGTAACCCACCGCATGCTATTCTGTTAAGATGACACTAACGAAACTAAGAATGAACCTGCTGTATCCCACCGTATGCTATTCTGTTAAGAGGACACTAACGAAACTAAGAATGGACCTTCTGTATCCAGCTGCATGTCTTTCCTAAAAGGCGGCTGAGTTGGGGACCAACCAAATCGGGAGTCTTCTTCCGTGACTTCTATGAAGAGGACATGGAAGTGACCAAAATAGATCTGCTTACCCCATTGCAACAGTTTTTCTCTCGTTTCCTATCTTTCCTATCTACTTTCCTTGTCCGGCGATGTCTCCCTAGGCACGCGTCCCATTATGACCCTGGCTATTGTCTCCCTAGGCACCCGTTCTCATATGACGCTGGCTATTGTCTCCCTAGGCACCCGTTCTCATACGACGCTGGCTGTTGTCTCCCTAGGCACCCGTTCTCATATGACGCTGGCTGTTGTCTCCCTAGGCACCCGTTCTCATATGACGCTGGCTGTTGTCTCCCTAGGCACCCGTTCTCATATGACGCTGGCTGTTGCGTGGACGCCTCCTTCAACATCAGATCATTCATGTTTGTAAAAGTCAACGAGGATGACGATAAGACAATTAATATTATTCTTTTCATTCTATTTATAAAGAGTTGTTATATATTTATGCCTTATGGCTTTCGAACCCTGTACGAGATATCATTTACTTTAAACGAGGATGTTTATTTTGTTTCATTTTATATTTCCACATTACTGAAATTCTGTTGTATGGAAGCTCAATCTGTCCTCGAAGATTATATAAACTTTTAGTTAACCACAGAAACGTCTCTGTAAATTCCTTATACGTGTATTTCTAAAAAAAAATAAAAAAATCGTGTTGATCTTCAGGAACGCTCAATAGAGAATGATAATAGACGTTAAATTGTTAGTTTCGGTTTTAACATCCTCACAACAACCAAGGTCAGATAGGATGGAAATACATTTTTGATTGTTATTCATATATTTTTATCAACTCAAACAATAGTGGATATTTTCCTAAGAAAAATTGCATAAATGTGTACCCGCAAAAATATGTTACTGACGGTAATCAATTGCAGGCTGAACGGATCGATCTGTAGACACAGCGCATTAGGTCTATGATAACTGTCATGCAAGGCTTAGTGAAGAGTTAAAGGACACACAAAAACTACTGTAGTGATTTCTCTGGAGACTCTTGTCATAACTAACTCTGCAGGTGTAAGAGTCCCTTGCGTAGGTAGATATGCAAGATATACACGTGAACAAGTTATGCTACATGTACCAAAACTTGCCTTAAGAACCGACCTCCGAGACCGTAAACCCTAATGTAAACAGTTTGTCACGGTGTCGTTTTTATGCATACACCGGGTATGTGACAGGCCAAGGGATGTACCCTGATTAGCTAGAGGGTTATACGGTGAGTGCCCTCTATTTAACCGGTTATTTGGCGGAGGCATATTAGTACACAGTAGACAGCGGAGGGAATCTGCTAGGGCGGTAATCTGCCTCCCGTTACTATCATTTGATGAGTGGTATTACAAGTTGTCATGCTCACAAAAATTTCCAACGTGCCTTTACGCTGATGTTCCATTGAAATTCGTACATTGATTCAACATAAATATTTTGGCACCAAGCCGCGTAAACACTTTGTTAATACGTCTGGTAGAGAGAGAGCCACTTTGGTATAATGTAGGCTGCTTATTGAACACGGTCGGCCGGGTAATCCGGAAATATTGAAACGTCTACGTGCCTATAATTAGGGTGAGTAACACCGCGTCAGCCGTGCTGCGCTTGTCTTTTGTCTTGTCATACAATGCTTTTAATTAAAGTTACATCTCGATGAAGACGGAGGGAAGCACCCTCCGCACGCTATTTGTAATAGACTCGCTGCAATGTATTTCACAGAACATAACATAAATAGGAAACAAATTGAGGGTGTAAAGCTACAAGCCCGAAGGAATGGCAGGTTAGACTAGGTTAATGTTGATTTCATTTTCTCCTAATGTGGGAGCCGTGGACAGGCCTACAATTACCGTCCGGGCCGGGCCGCCGTACGTAAACATGTGGTAATTCCGGGGGATCACTGCCGAGCTAATCAGCAGGCTACAGCAGATCTATGGGTTGGATTCTCGGGGCAGAGGCAGACGCGAATTACATGAATTATCTTCTGAAATCAATTTCACTAAATACCATGTTTATTTCAAGAAAAAAACTACAGCCTACCATTTTTATACTGTAGGGTAACAATACAGAGACTGGTTAAAACAATACACGACATAGCCTCGATATCGATTTGAGCGCGCGAGGCAGGTCGCTTGTCACAGTCTCACTCCGGCTAGAATTTTTCATTTTTTCTTTTACCGATTTACAGATCATATATCAATAACGTTTATCTTTGTCCCGCCACTCAGACATGTGTCACTGAAGGTCAGCTTAGGACAATAGAGGTCACCCGAGGTCAGCTGACTGGTTTTTACAATGTATAGATATTTCAATTTGTCATTGCACAGCATTGAATAAAAAATAGAATATATATCTAACATTATGTTGAATAAAAAAACTAACACGATATGAATAAGTTTTTTCCTTTTTTTCGTGAAAGGAATATATGAATGTACTGATTACAAAAGTCCTACAAAAACTACTTTTTTATTACTGTATACTTATTTTACATATGGCATTTAAGAGTTTGCTGGTTCTTGCGTAATTTTCTTGTTAACAAGACTTGTCTGTATAGCTTAAGATATTTTAAAGGGCCTTGCTTTATTTAAATGTAAAAACATTTGACGGAAATACCAGTTGGTCCCTAACGAAAAGTAATTGATGACAAGTGAAACATTATACGCTAAGAATATAAACACGCACGTGTTCTTAACATCACCACGCTCACGTGCACTAGAGCCACCAAACACGAGAGTCGCAAAGGCCAAACATTGCTCTTCTCGTAAAAGTTTTGGCAGACGATCATGGTTCTGTAGATTTTCATCAGAAATCCATCTCGCCTAATGGTTGAAAATAACCTATCATCGTAATGTTATAGACGGCTTACATGACGGAGGACCGGGCATAGCAAAAATGAATCAAAAACGAAATTCGTAGATAAAGTGTTTTCATTTTCTTCGTCTAGTCGCCCATGAGAAATGGCCTGCCAGAGTTGGTCAAAGTACTCGACACAACACATCTCCATTAGGGTCGGCCTGACGGGGGCCCTCGGCTGCCATCGGCCTGGTCGCCATTTTAATGTGTATTAAACTTGTCACGTTATTATTAAAAGCGGTCTGAGTGTGCCGACACGATCCATAACGGTACACCCCGCTATTATCCGCCATTAAGGTCCTGTCGGCACGACCTACAAATGTAGTCCTCGTATATATGCTGACCAATCCACACGTCCACAAAACGACCAAGGCTCTGTAACATTTTGTTTTGACTTCCCTCGCACGAGCATTTGTCCTTTCTCTACTCAGTAACACCAATGTGTATTAAGGAGCTTTTTCTACTCAAATTCCAAATTTATAAAACCTTGGCTGAACTCTACTGTACTTTATGTGTGAGTTGCTTCCCTTGAGGTACAGGTCTATGTTTCGTAATTTTGCTTCAATAACAACAGGATTATATAGAGGTACAAAGCATGTCCATATTCATTAATTAGACACCATTGAAGAAATCAAATCTTGAAATTAGTATCACTCAATATTGAATTGTTAAGTTATAATTTCCTGTCCTATAAAGCATCTGCCTCAATGCACTTCAGGTCCGAAAAGTTGTTTTACCAGTACATAGTCCCCGTGGATTTCATAACAGAATCTTATCTGTTTATTTTCATTAACAGGATAACCTTGGTGTTAAGTGGTCAATATTGCGAAGCTGGATGTTATACATGTAAATAACTAAGGATTGCTTTTTGTCACGAAAGATCTCTCGGATTTATTTCTAATCCTTGTGTTATTTTGGTTAAATTCTTGGCGGTCTTAAATGAAACTGTAAATGTTTGTTAGAAGAACTACAAGTTCGAACTTAGTTAATTGATTATAAGCACTTTAAAAAAATTCAGCTCCATAGTGACGTCACTCAGTTTGACGTAGCTTGGTTTAATTGCAATGCCATAATTTGGTACCAATACTGGAAACAATTGAAATTATTACAAAAGCAAAATCTCAGGATATATTTGATGATATGGATTGGTGAAATTTTATCACTTAGCAACCTCTGTGAAATATTAATCATCGTCGTATATGGACGACCTTTTGCAACGCCACATCATTTGAAAATAGGTTCCCTCGGCTGAAACAATTTCTTTCTTTTTCCCTTAAGCTGGCAATGAGTTTTATCGATTTCATTGGTTCATATGTCAGTGTGACAAATCCCCTCGTTCAGACCCAACAAGATTTCAAATACTGATACGACGTATTGTGACGTAATAATCAAATGCCACGGGAGAGTTGTCCCCCTTCCTTTTACGATTTTCCTTTCCAGGGTGCCGTTTCACGACGCGTACGTAAAGTTACGGGTACCCGTAAACCGTACGTAAGTTTTTTGGTCCGTTTCACGACGTACACGTAAGTTACGAGTGCACGTAAATAAGTTACGGGTACCCGTAAGTTACGCCCAAAACCGCACGTAACTTACGCCAACAAATACCTGCCGTAAACCACACGTAAGTTTACGTTCAGACGTCATAAAAGGAAACAAATGACTGCCGTATTGTGTCGTGTTAAATAAATAAACTCCAGTGGGCATTACGTACATAGGGGATGAGTGTGTCTAAACCAACAAATCACAGGTAGGGGCCAAAAGTACAGTATTTTCCCAATATTTTACTTGGATGGTAACAGCGACGGCTATATATTCCATGCATTTCTAGATATATTTCATGATTTTTAATGATGAGTTTTGTGATGAAATTGAACGAAATTTTAATTTCATAAACGATGATATTTATTTCAAAATACTGCAATATTATTTCGTTAGCTGATTTTGAAGATATAATATAATATTTAGCTTAATAATTATGCTATGCAGGTCGTTTTTCATGTTTAACCTGATTATATCAGAAAAAATGAATTTCTGCAAATTTGCTATCCATTTTAACAGAGACGTATACGTCTCTGATTTTAAGAAAAAGTATAAAATTAATATGAAATAAAAATGTGGGAATTCTATTTCACGGTATATCAAATTTTGTTTTTATAACATTTCCGATTTACTTGAAGAAGATTTAAAAAAAAATGTGGAGAAATGTATGAAAGATGTTGTATGCAATGACGTGCCGTACATGTAAGTCTTCAACGTTACGTCATTATCCCATTGGGTTGTATGTTATTTTACTGGGGGGCTCTCCAATAATTTCCCCTGGCTTCGTTGTTTGATCCATTTTAACGACATTTTGCGTACATCTACAGAATTATCCAAAGCTTTCGTTAATTAGGTTAATGTTATCACCCATTTCTTAGTTTTTAAATCATAATGAGTTAATTGGCCATTGTGTCCTATTAGAAAGACGCCAACAGTAAATTTGATACGTAGACGAAAACTGGTATCTCAATAACAGAACCTTAGAGAATTATGTACATGTCAATACTACTAGCAAGAGCAACGTGTAATTTTCTGGCAGGACGTTAAGTTTAAAAATCGGATGTCAAAAAAATTCATGAAATTTATTGAAAAAATGTTGATAAATGCAATGGAGAAATGACGTATCTTGAAAGGCTTATGACGCGTCACTAACGTATATCAATAAAGAGTAAGAAATTGATCATAATCTGCCCAAAAAATCACGAACTGTTGTGTCATTTCGTCCGTCCTTTCTTTGGATTCCAGAGTTCACATTACCAAACCTTGGCGCACCTGTTGCAAATATTTTTGTAATTGAAAAAATATGAAAGTATGTTAGAAAATGGTTGTTTTATAACGATTTGATCCCGATATAATTGTCATTCGACAAGTACCGCTTTGTGAAACTGTCCCCCAACCGACCTGATCCCTACCACTGAGATCTAGACAACCCCTCATCTCCGAGTAATATTTTGTACATGTAGATTATGCAATGATTCAGTAGTTGAAAGGGAAAGCAACGGCAAGAAAGTTTAAGTCGACGGAAGTTATGTTTGAAGGTAACTTAACGTTTAACTATCCGCTATCTTGTCGCTGTGATATTGTTGTGGTGCTTCTATTACAACACGTCGCAAGTCTGTCAATTTTTGGTTTTTTTAAGAGGATAGACTTTTACTGTGTTGCATCCTTATAATAACAATACCTACACAATTAATTGGCTTATGTTTGACTACTGATTCCGGTTCACCCCAAGAGTCCGCGGCATCTCCAAATCCAATAGCTTATTTTTGTTTGTAAACTTTCAGTTACATGTAATATTTGCCCAGTGTTTTATTGTGCCCTCTATAATTATACGAATTGGAAATCATCGGGTTTGTGAAATGATAAAAATCCTCACAATTAATATTTCCATGCCTAAAAATACAACAATATTTAGTTGTATCAGAGTTTTACAAAACAATGTACTTATTAATATTTAGTTGAACTGGCGATCAGATAGTCCCAATAATACAAGTACTGTGACGGACTTAAAATTTAATTCCGTGGTACTGTCACATGTGCGATATTAGCTGTACATGTACTTGACAGTTGTTATATTTCTAATTCTAAATTGGCATAATATTGTTATGTATATATACATATTTTTTTACCTATAACTAGATAACTAATAAGTGGCATCTTTTGAGTTGTTCTTCCAGATGAAATCATCAGATAATAGAAAATAGGAATAGTTGAAAATGCTGAATTTCAGGGTTCAAAATCGGGAATCTCCATCCAAAATAGGGAGAGTTCGCAAGTATGGATTTGTAGAATATGATATGTTTCTTCATCATTACATTCATATTGTAAAAATATGGAAAAAAAATACACAGTTGCTACATGTATGACATGACATCAAAAGAAAAGGCCCGGGCGGTTCAAATACTTCTATCCAGCTGTACCGGGCTCTCATGTGCTGCCTCGGGTTCTACGGGGCTCTAATTAGTTTAACTATGACACTAGAGAGTTCCACTTCTGAAAGTTCTGGCCACCTCATAAATGGAAATATTCCAATGAGAATCGCTGTATGTTAAGTCTAAAGAAATCATTGAATGGTTAAGATTGTAACCGCTTTAAACCTAAGGATCATCACATCATGTTGGATTATTCACTTCCGGTATAATTTACGTGCACGTAAACCCGTACGTAAATGTGAAAAGTTACGTACGGTTTCGTGAAACACCCCCTACGTAACTTACGTGCACATAGTTACGTGCACGTAAATATTTACGGGTACCCGTAACTTTACGTACGCGTCGTGAAACGGCACCCAGCACCATAGCCCTTTAAAACCCGTACGGTTATCACCATGGCGTGATTTATGGAATATATTACTTGTATATGATATTAATCAGGTTTATGATAGTTTTCATCAAAGCCTGAGCTCTCTTTCACTGAAACAATGCTCTCATAACAGATTAATGCCATAAACATTTCCTATAACGTTTCTTCTTCTATCTGATCAGTCGCTGCCTGCTTGTGAACTTTTAAAAGGAGACCGCTTAACATCAGATTCAATCTTTTTTTCTGAATACTTGTTGTATAAAATGTATGTTCTGGAATGTTATTGTGAAATAAAATAAAGTTTAAATCAATGTCATAAACAGTCAGTCAGATTAAAAATAATCTCACTGTACCAGCACTGTAACACTACGTAAGTCGTACACATGTAAAACCTTGGTTATTATACCATCAACTAATCAATCAAGTATATATACCTATATAGCATACTAGGCAGGTGTTACAAGTATTTCCTTTAACTGCCTTCAGATATTAGTACAGCATGATATTAAGCAATGTTTATCTGTCAGAAGAACTAAGTACAAGTAGTACCTTAAAATGATTGGGTGGAGAAAACTTGGTACAAACTAGTCATAATGTTTGCTGTTCTCTGTTGAAAAAGTGCCGCACACAAGTTCCATTTTGGTAGAGAAGTGATTATCGTTTAAATTGTAAACTGTTGTTTCGTGAACTACATGTATATTCTGCTGCCAACGTGTCTGTAACTGTATTACGGTTGTCATTGCCACCAGTCATTGCAGAAATTATATTTATGGTTAAAAGATCAGAACCACCACTATGCTGCCTAACAGCTGTCGTGCATTGTTATGCAATGTTATTTTTAAAGGTGCCAATGTAACACTATCCTTTCACTGTTCAAAAGCCCCGCCGTCCAGACGTTTTGATAGGATAATCTGTACTAGTGATAGCCCCGGTCGCCATACGGTATATGTTCGGAGTTTAATGTCTGATCATGGCCACGTCGGCTCAGGTTGTTGAACATTCTGTATACGATTGTATTAATAATGTCTTAATTCCAGATAAAGCACCCCGGACCACACAAAAACACTATAAGTTACCTCCCTTATCTCCCGCTCTCAATTATTGGGCATTTTATGTTCGGTGTAGATTAACGGTATAATTCAAGGTGTTGAATTGCCGTCAAAATGCCACAACAATTTACCTTGCTCTCTTTAACAGATAAACCCCACACACTGATACTAGGAGCCGGGCGATAATAAAACGAGATCTATACGAGA